TTTAACTCGATGATTTGGTCAGCCGAAGCTTTTATCACGCTACTGAGCTTTCAGAATCATCTCAAGTTTATTCACGTTGAAATAAATGTTTTGGCGCTTGAGATTTTGCAAAACAGTTTACGGTTTTGTCGTGTACTCACCAGTGTGAATATTATTTTTGTTCACATTGAATTACTTGTCGTTGTTTTTTGTAATTATACGGTTAAATAATCGAAAGCAGATTTCCAGATACGTTCTGTGATTGATGTTATGAGAGCTCTTTTCTATCAAGCGTGTAATTTCCCACGCATTTGTTTGCATGGAAACATCTGAGAGACCGTGTGAGATATGTACTCTAAACTGAGGGAAAATAATAGTCGTTGCTCTTCAAAACATTCTAGGCGACATTTAAAGCCATAAGTGTAACTACTAAGTCTCGATCTAGATGCAATCATCCATCTTGTGCTTAGTCAGTGTTCCATTTGTTGGGCTTACTATCCTATCCCTTGCCTTTATTGATCACTCTCCACCAACAGAAAGTTAGGAGGAGGAGCACATGATGATGTAATCTGGCCACGCCTACTGTATTGATAAAAGCAGCAGATAAAGAGAAAGAAACACACTTGAAAAGAATTATTTGATTCACGATGTTAAGGAATGTCTGTGAATATCAGAAAATAATAATAAGAAAGCTTGTTTATATGTAAATATATATCATATAGGCAAACATTGTATAAATCTAAAGCTTTCCTAACAATAAATTTAATGGAGGTATGGATTTCCTTGTAGTGCCATCTGTTGTTTTATTTAGAAATCTTAGTTGTTTTTTTTATTTGCAAGATCATTTGATTTAATTTTAGTTGATCAACAATAAACAAACAAGACATTTAACTGATAAATATTCAACCGATTTTAAGTGAAATTCAAAGCGACTGTACATTTGTTAAGTGTAAAATCTGACGGTGAGTAAGTGGCAAGCGATTGCATTAAATACTCACTGAATACTGTTGTATTTAAAGTATATCGTCTGTCAGTGGAAGTGAAACGTTGAGTACTGCAGTCAGAGCTTGGCACAGTGATTTCTTCATGAAAAAAAAACAACAATGATGTTTTCGACAATTCTTCAAGCGAAGAGCGACTGCATTGTAATGAATACTTATCTTTAAATTTTCCACTTTTAATGTTAGAAAACTGATGAATAATGTGGATACTGTTCTTGAAGGTGAAGATCAGGAAAAAAGATTTTTAAAGATTATATTTTGTTTGTTTGTCGCTAAGCACAAAGGTACGCAATGGGTTATTTGTGCTGTGCCCACCATTGGTATTGAAACTCGGTTTTTAGCGTTATAAGACTTCAGATCAATCGCTAACCCAATTGTGTTTGGGGGGAGGGGCGTATAGATTATGAAAATAGGTGATACTTTTCAATTGGAGCCAGTTGAATGAGTAGGCTTTTGGACATATTTTGTTGATGTGACTTGTGACTTTCGGATTTTTAAGGTCAAATACGAATAGCTTATTCAAAGAAGCTGTATTTTGATAGGGATTTGTTTTCTTGGACTAAAGACGGCTAAACTGTGATCCAGCTGGACACTGGTGCTGTCTAAAGATCAGATTATGTGGGGATTATTTTCATCGTTCAGTGTTATCTTAATGAACTTCATGTTCTGGAAGGTTCTCAATCTATTATAAACATTTGTAAAGTTTTAACCTATTGTGCTCTCACTTTGGCAATTCGTTCTTTCACTCCTCATGGGACGGTAAACAAGAAAAAAACTTTGGAGTTGAGAATGGAAGCTTATCAATTTTATTAAGGTTTCTTATTACATAGATTAGGTATTATTTTCGTGTTTTTTTTTAATTTTCTCTGTAATGACGTACAGAAGATCCGTCATCTAGAGAAACCGTTCTGAGTTTGGTGTACGCTGTAATAAAAGCTGATAATGTCAGTCTTTAATGGAATTTATGAAAAACGACATTAGCACTTTAACAAGGCCTTGTAGTTGTATATCAAGCAGTTAGTAGGAGGGCGTGAGACAGCGTGCGTAATGGTCTTCATAAATTTAAACGATGTCGCAAACTGTCAAGCCAGGCGGACAATATAGACCTATATCAGGCTGGTGTACTGAGGGCAAAGCAAGCTCATAGGATATTTTAAAAACTGATGATGATATAAGCTACATCTACTCATGCACTACTCATGCACATTTCTTAGTATTTCTTGTCAATGATAACGTTAATACCGTAACGGCTACATACGTAGTGTGAATGGAAAGGCAACGAAATGACAACAGCAAACGTAATAATGACATGGCGCTTTGATAAATGGGCTCTATTTTCCTTTACCGTTCTGCAAAACCGTGAATATCAGTATGTAAACTGGGGAGATTAGGCAACTTTCCAAGTTGAAGGCCAGCCTTTAACTTTCCTTGTCACATTAAGGTGCTGAAAGCTTTCGGATGCGGTGACATTAATTTGATGAATCGTGCAAACAAAACACATATATTCAACATCATTTAGAGAGCTGGAGTTCAAAGGTGTAACTATGAAATGATCGGTTATTGTACTTCAAAGACGATTTTCAAAATGGAAGCTAAACCGGATGACAGTTCTAGTTATGTAAAGTTCTCTCACATTAAAGCTTTTAGTTGCTAAAACAATGTGATGTATTTACATATATTTCCCTGCATGGCACCTCACAAGATTTCGAAAGTAAATAATTAACACGATAAACATGATTAACAAGTAAATAATGGATAAATCTGAACCTTGTTTGCGAAATCTGTGGAACATAACGTTTGTTCGTTTGTAATTAAGCACAAAGCTACTCAATGGGCTATATGCGCTCTTCCCACCACAGGTATCGAAACCCGGATTCGAGCGTTGTAAGTCCGCAGACATACCGCTGTGCCACTGGGGGGGGGGGGGCGAACATAACGCAGATAACTCTACGGAAATATATATATATACCATAGTAAGCTTTATTGCAAATCTAAAACGAACTCTTGTGCTCAGAACCTATCGCTTTTAAAGCACGTAATTCTATGTAAAACGCGAGTAAGAATATATTTAATAACGAATATTCATTACTCTCTCTGATTAAACATCTTAAGTCTCTCCATGTACGGATAATTATATAAGAATTCACGATGCTACACGTTTTTTTTGTAAAACGCGAGTAAGAATATATTTAATAACGAATATTCATTACTCTCTCTGATTAAACATCTTAAGTCTCTACATGTACGGATAATTATATAAGAATTCACGTGTTTTTTGTAATTTAAAAAAAAATCTAACTATCGCGGCATAATATCTAAAATCATATTCAAGTATTCAGACCCAGTTGTAACTATATTTAAAGTGTGAAAAACTTAATTAATATTAAGCTCCAGTCAGTGCAAGTTACGCGAAACTATAAATCGACAGAAAACGAAAATTTGAAAACTCGATAAATATAAACATCTATTTAAATGAGCGAACCTTATCACCGGATTTAGTATCTTTTATTCTGATTTGTAAGTGTAGCAGTAAATAGTTACTTTTTTTTTAAGCCGATCTGCTACATATAATATGGCCTACAAAACCAATCAATATTATCACGAAACTACTATTTAGAGCAACGCATTCCTTCTCGACCCATAGTCAATGGCTTCTTCAGATGTCAGGGAAGACAGCAGAAAAAAATGATGGTTTAATGGACTTTAGCGACATTGATTCTTGGGGTGCCGTTTGTTGGCACCTCGCCCCGCCTAGCTCGATTCTTCAAATGACGGAGGGGAAACATCTTCAGATAAAAGCCTTTTCCTGGATGACTCTTGGAGAAGAGTGGTCAGCGTTTCCTCGAGTTTTTCAGACACTGACGATGTATATAGATAGTGTAAACTATACATAAGTGCTATAGGTAGTTACAGTCCTTGAGTCACTTGATCTAATAACCGTTATGAGAGACAACGTTGAAAGTCCGTTATAACGTATCAATGAGGATTTTTTTAATTATCTTATATAACCAAATTGATGACTGGTTCCATATCTACCTTTGAAAATTCAAAGATAATGTTTTTTTTTAATACTTTACATGTAACGGTGCACCTAACAGCAAGTAGAATTTACCTAAAATAGTGTTAGTGTGAACAAAATCCACCTCTATAAATAAGGCTTGATATTAACATTTTGCCCCTCCCCCCAGTGGCTCAGCTTTAAGTCTGAAAGATTAAAACTTTTAAAACCGGGATTCGAGACCCGTGGTGGGCACAGCACAGGTAGCCCGTCGTTTAGCTTTGTGCATAGCAGCAAACAAGAAAACAAACTTAAGCTCTAGCTTTAATACAGAGCGGGCTACAGTTGAGAGGTGCTAGTTTTATAGCCAGATCATAACTGGTATGTCTTGATATAATTATTATAATTAGAGCTTTTCAGTGAAAGTATATAATGTAGTTAATATATTGTTACATGTTACAAGAACGTGTAACAATATATTAACTACATTATATCTTTTATATCCAGTGAAGATTAGACCTTTTTTGCTCAGTATCAGGGCTCTTCAGTCACATGGACCTGATTGGTTAGCCCAGCAGCGTCATCTCGTGTCCTGTTGTCGAATTAATAAATGTTTATGATCTTTAATTTTTTTTTTTTTTACTAACTACAAAAAGTTTTATTTCTGTCGTTGGTGTAGTCATTGTGAAACAACCTTGGACATTTTGTGAAAAACAACAACAACCCGAAGGGATAAAGGGCAGTGGTAAAATTGTTTTCAAATTAAAATCTCACGAGAATCTCATGCTAAATCTCGCGGTTCGCATCTGCACCATTTCGTTTAGGGTATGTACATCGGTTGTTTGTTAGTTTACCACAAATATGGCATTATATAGCTATGAAATAAAACAAAAACAAACGTCATTGTACTTCAATATAATAGTTAGTTAGCTTAACAAGTACTAACAAATTGTAATTTTCAAATGTATATATATTTGCAAGCACAGCATGTCATTTATACCTGTTTTATGTTTTAACACCAGAAGGCGATAGTGGAACAGAAAGCTCCAGCCGAAGCGACCCTGGCGGAAGCGGTGACGATGAAGAAAACGCAGCACGATTACGTCTGAAGAGAAAACTACAAAGAAACCGAACTTCTTTTACTCCAGAACAGATAGAAGCGTTAGAAAAGGGTACGCAATTAAATGTGATATCAAAGAAGGCACGGTTCACAAAAATTGGTTTCTCTTAGACTCGATTGTGTATTGTTTCATTTGAAATTATTCACAACTGCTGAATCTGTAAAGAAAAGTAAACAACAAAGAAGGAAGAATTATATTAAATACATTAGCTCTAAAATTTGGTAATATTGCTCTAATTAAACGATATAAATACATACCAAAAATCTCTTCCAAAGATTTCGTTACAAAGTCTACTGTGAGACGTATCTCACTTCTAAACTTACAAGATTACTATATAATGGAGAACGTTACTCGTGAACTTTTACAGCGTTATTTTTAACATTGGATCGAACCGCTGTAAACCTCTGTATTTTTTTTTTTACCTTTTCAGAATTTGAACGAACTCATTATCCAGACGTTTTCGCCCGGGAACGATTAGCATCAAAGATAGACTTACCAGAAGCTAGAATACAGGTAGAAAGTAGTTTTCACTATTAACTTTATTGAACATATGGGAAAATACGTTTAGTGAGTTGGCAGCTGATTAATTAAAGATTTATACATGTTCTAAAATATTAGAATATTCGGAAACTGATACATTTATATGAACTCCAGTTTATTACATGAACATTTAATTTTATTGATGGCAATCGTTTGGTCGTTAAGCACAAAGCTACACAATGGGCTATCTGTGCTCGGGCCCACCACGGATATCGAAACCCGGTTATCGCTAGCGATATGTATTGGTGATGAAGACTCAAGATATTACAAAAAGATTATCAGTCATGTCGAAAACAGAACGCATGGTTAAACTAATATATATGTTTTTTTAAACCATGTAGACACGTTTAAAAAGCAGATGGATCAAAGCGATAAAAAAAGAAAGCTTTATTGTACACAATAAGCATAAAAATGACACTGTGCCCAATCTCAAAAATACAATAAAATACTGAATGATTTACTGTACAGGACAAAAAACCTGATGAGACTGGGAACAGTCTTAAACACTCGACGTGTTTGGACGTTTTTACTGCGTCATCTTCAGGAGTGCAATTTCATCTCATCATTTTTCTTATCCTATTATAATAAACCGTTGTTTGTTTTTTTTTAACAATAATTTTGATTTGAGCATGAATATTAATCAGATGTATTTTTAAGATCCATTTATTCACACGTCTGATCTTAACTCCTCTTTTTTCTATTGTAACTGTTTGGTCTCTGGTATTGAAATATCACTTCAATGTGAGAAATTGGTTCTTCACAGGTTTGGTTTTCCAACCGCAGAGCCAAATGGAGACGGGAAGAAAAGTTAAGGAATCAGAGAAGAGCTGCCGAGCAAGCCGCGGCAGCTGCCGCAGCTGTCAACACCACACCGGGTCGCCTCCCTCTCAACTCAGGTTTTCCGAATTCCTTGTATCCCGGTATAGGACAACCAATGGCTAGCATGGGGGACTCTTATAGGTAAGCCTATTTATATATATATATATATGCTAATGTGTAACATTTTCCGATTTGTTGATAAAGGATAATAAGGTTAATTACTTAGCGGGCAACTTCAACTTTTCACCATAAAAGAAACAAATATAGAAAATACTGTAATGTATAAATCCTTTTATCATAATGTTTTTCCTAGTAGAAAAGAATGCTATATACCTTCTCTTCGGTAGAAAGATTTGATGAAATGTTTCGACTGAGCTATTTTAAGCCGCGGCATAACGGCTCATTAAACGGCTCTAAAAAAAATGTTTTTTTCAAGTACAAAATTTTAGCTCATAGCTCAGTCATCATTTCACCGATTTGAAATCTAATTATAGTTTTGAACTCAGAAGATCAAACCCTTTCGATTGGTGTATTTGACCAAGCCCAAGGTCTCGTAGATTAATTTACTCAAATCTTACCTAAAACCTAAAAGAATTTCAAGTACCGCTGCTATTGAGGATTCCCTCTTGTTTCGCTATTATATTTACATTAGCACCGTATTTTTTATCATTTTACTTTTCTACGAGGTACACCAGCTCAGCAGTAGAAATCTCATACCAGGTTTTATACAAGATATTTTTCTTTTCCCTCAGTTCTATTCCACCGATGTCCACTTACTCTATGCCGAACAATATGGCACCAAATTCCTGTCTTCAGCAGCAGGCGTCATCCTATTCTTGCATGTTACCACCAGGGAGCGCTAGAAGCTACGACCATCTTTCACTAAGTAGCTATAGCCGACCATCATGTCCTACCGCACAACCATATGTAATGCAGCCTGTAAATGGTCAGTTTTCCACAGTCAACAATGGCGGTGCTGGGTCAACAGGTAAATAAATATTTTTGTTCACACTTCTTTCTTTTCCGATATTATCTGAATGTATTGGATTCAATTTATATAAATTTTTCCAGAAAGAAAGAAAAATACTCACGTGTGTCCGACCAATATGTATCAATCCTTTATTAGAGAGATAACAAGGGCAAGTAGCTATATTAGTATAAGTTTGGGGCCTGGCATGGCCTGGTAATTAGGGTGTTTATTCGAAATCTGCGGATCGTGGGTTCGAATCTTGTCACCGAACATGCTCGCCCATCTAGCCGTGGGGGCGTTATAATGTGACGGCTAATCCCACGTTTCATTGATAAAAGAGTAGCACAAGAGTTGGCGATGGGTGGTGTTGACTAGTTGCCTTCCCTTCTAGTGTATCACTTTAGAATTGGGGAAAGAGTTGGCGATGGGTGGTGCTGACTAGTTGCCTTCCCTTCTAGCGTATCACTTTAGAATTGGGGACGGCTAGCGTAAATTGCCCTTGAGTAACTTTTGGCGAAATTCAACAAACAAACAAAGAACAAGATATAAGTTTGTTCCAGATGCTGCACTTTGCACAATAAGAATGTCTGAAAAGCATTTAGGGACTTTATTAAAAGTGGCACAGAACATTTTGAAATCTTGACCTAATGAACGTACTGAGACGAGATTTATTCCACATTAGAAATTAGCAAATAAATGACTAAGATATACTTAGGTACATATAATCTAGAACAGAAAAGTGCGTTTCGTATGGTAATGATCGTGGATTTGGCGACGCAACACAAGCTTCATATAAATATTTAAGCAGGAACATTATTTGAGAGGTTTTTTTTTCCTCTTGTAGATAAATGTAGATCTTCAATGAATATTTAGTGTTAAGTTTTGCTACCATATTATCTGTGTTACTTTCAAATATTTCTACTTTTACTCAGTTTTTGTAGAAAATGTATTGTGATTGCTCGTTAAAACAAGCAAACAAAACGCTTAGGCTTCTCTTCGAAAACAATAGGAAGCTTTATCTAAAAGGTGAACTAAAAGGTCAACCAATTTTTGACTCCATCATAATGTTACAAATAAGTAAATGCCTAATGCCTTAGACAAAGGTTTAAAGATACTCCCAAAAGAGCTAGATGACAACCAGTGATGAGGAGGTTCTTAGAAATATAGGTGACTTAGAATGATGAGGGGACGTTTAGAGGATTAAGTGACCAAGAGTGATGAGGGAACTTGTAAAGAGCTAGACGACCTATAGTGATGAGAGGTCTTTTAGAAGATTAGGTGACCTAGAATGATGAAGGGACGTTTAGAGGATTAAGTGACCAAGAGTGATGAGGGGACCTTTAAAGAGTTAGGTGACCTATAGAGATGAAGGACATTTAGAGGATTAGTTGACCCAGAGTGATGAGAGGACTTTTCGAGGATTAAGTGACCAAGAGTGATGAGGGGACTTATAAAGAGTTAGGTTACCTATAGAGATGAGGAGGCTTTTAGAAGATTTAGATGACCTAGAGTGTTTAAGAAATTGCCAGAGAATTAGGTGACCTAGAATGATTAAGAAACTTCTAAAGAGCTAGGTCAGTGGTTCCCAACCTTTTTCCAATTGAGGACCAGCTAGTTGTGATCCCAAAATTTCATGGACTACTTTGTACAATATTAACAATATTCAAAAATATAATATAATATTGTAAAACACATACTTTAGTCACTACATTTCAAAACACACGTTTTTTTGTGTTTTTATACTGTCTTTTGGACTGATTGAAATCTTCCAGTGGACTATCACTGGTCCATGGACGGGCGATTAGGTACTACTGAGCTAGATGACCTAGAGTGGTGAGGGGATTTCTAGAAAGTTATGCGGCCTAGAGTAATGAGGGGGTTTCTAGGGAGTTAGATAACCTAGAGTGACGAGGGGGGATTCTAGAAGGTTAGATGACTTAGAGTGATGAGACGATTTCTATAGGGTTAGATAACCTAGAGTGATTAGAATATTCCCAGAAAGTTAGGTGACCTAGACTGATGAGACGATTTCTATAGGGTTAGGTGACCTAGAGTGATGAGGGGATTTCTAGAAAGTTAGGTGGCCTAGAGTAATGAGGGGATTTCTAGAGAGTTAAAGTAACCTAGAGTGATGAGGGTTATTCTAGAAGGTTAGATGACTTAGAGTGATGAGACGATTTTTAAAGGGTTAGGTAAGCTTGAGTGATGAGGGGACTTCTAGAGGGTTAGGTGTCCTAGAGTGATTAAGATATTCTTAGAAAGTTATGTGACTTAGAGTGATGAGGGGACTTTTAGAGAGTTAGATGACCTTAAGTGATAAAGTGACTTCAAAGGAGTTGAAGGATCTTGCGTGTTCTTCATCCAGTGTATTAAATAATCTATAGGGACAATACAGTGAGAGAGGAGATTTGTGAGGATAAATTGTAGCTTAACTTACTCCTATAAAAGGGATAATCTAAGTATGTTTCTAACTAGTAGATGTTAAGAATCAGAGGATTTAAAAAAAAATTCTATTGGCAATAATAATTAATAAAACTTTACTATAAAGCAACAGGTTTTCGAGAAGGTTAGATGAAACTTAGCTCATCCTAATCAGAGAGCTAATCCATAAAGGCTCTCAGAAAAGTGGACTTCGTAAAATTAAAAGCCTTCTTTGATTTCTTGTGAAAAGTTATATGGCACTTTATCATGCATTTATTAAAGGAAATACTTCCGAAAATATCAATGTGTGAGATATGCTTTTCAAGTTAGACTATGTGTTAGCTTACTTGTTTAAGAAACAAAGGTGTTTATTAGTTAGTTAAGGAGTTTAATATAAACTACGCATTACACTTGTAATAATAAATATTGTTGTTGAATAGTGGTTTAGTCATCATTGCTTTCAGACTTAAATTTTCTGAGTAAGTAGGCTTAGCAACTTGCGTTTTTTGAGTAAGTAGGCTTAGCAACTTACGTTTTTTGAGTAAGTAGGCTTAGCAACTTACGTTTTTTGAGTAAGTTCTTTTTATGCTTGTATATTGGGCTTAGCAGGTAATATACATTTATTTTCTGTTTTGTTATTCGATTCAGATCATATTTATTGTAAGAAATACACTGTTTTAAATTTGAATTGAATTACACTTTATCGTTATTGTCAAGGTTTGATATCACCGGGGCTGTCTGTCCCAGTCCAAGTGCCAGGACAGCCAGGAGATTTGAACATGTCTTCAGCCTACTGGCCGAGAATCCAGTGACCCTGGGAGCGTCAGAAGCACGTGTGGACAAAACAAAAAAGACTAGCTTTTGACGCTGCCAACGTTTTACAATATTTTGCATCACCACAATCTATGTAAATCATGGAACACATATAATTTCATGTTGGGGGTGCACATGAAAAACTTTATAATCCAGTCGAAACGAGAAGTAAATTAGGATATAGACTATCACATTTTTGAAGAAGTAGTGGAGCCACTGGATTCAGTGCCCTTAGGTACTTATTTAAAATGTCTATCACAGCATCAGAAATACAACTAGAAGGCACAACATTGCCGGATTGGTCAACATTAAAGCTCGTGTGCAGATGTTTACAACATATCCAGTCCAACAAGAACAAACGATACAACTGGAGGATACAACATTGCCGGATTGGTCAACATTAAAGCTCGTGTGCAGATTTTTACAACATAATCAGTCCAACAAGAAGAAACGATACAACTGGAGGATACAACACTGCCGGATTGGTCAACATTAAAGCTCGTGTGCAGATTTTTACAACATAATCAGTCCAACAAGAAGAAACGATACAACTGGAGGATACAGCATTGCCGGATTGGTCAACATTAAAGCTCGTGTGCACATTTTTACAGCATATCCAGTCCAACAAGAACAAACGATACAACTGGAGGATACAACATTGCCGGATTGGTCAACATTAAATCTCGTGTGCACATTTTTACAACATAATCAGTCCAACAAGAACAAACCATGCAACTGGAGGATACAACATTGCCGGATTGGTCAACATTAAAGCTTCGTGTGCAGATTTTTACAACATATCCAGTCCAGCAAGAACAAACAATTCTAACAATCTCTGACACTCTGAACGTATACACGATCAGATAGTCGTTTATCTATTGACGTCGTCATTATCCTGAATGTTCCCTGAATTAAAAATATCTAGTCTTCCGGTTCTTAAGTTAAATGTTTGTATTATAATTCCTCTCTTACTATTGTCACAGCTTTTCTGTATAATCTTTTAATTTTGGTTAGGGTTGGAACTGTGTAGTTTTACGAGATCTACAATGAAACCAAAAACATTGATTTCTCACTTGCCATATGGATCTTTTCCCTTCCGTATAAGGAACGAAATGATGTAAAATTGATGTTAGAATCTCTCTTGAAATAAAAAAGCGAATTTATGTCATGTATAGCATAGTACTTATTTATTTAATACCAGATTTTCATGTTAGTTTTTTAAAAAAATATGTATTACAAGTTTCGAGATGCTATTCGATTAACCCCCTTCAAACAGAGCAATGTTCGAAAAAAAAATGAAACATTAGTGCTGAGTTTTAATTTTTATGTGTCAAGCTAAAACTATTATAGTGTACAACGACCAGAGAGGAGATGTTTAAAAACCTTAGCAGTGCTTTTTATGATTAATAAAGCTCATTTTTTTTTGACAGAGCTAAAGTCTAGACATCAGCACATTTATAGTTAAGACATAAGTTATTGTGATTCAATAGATAAACTTACATAAACCGAAACCATTCGAATGATTTAACACTTTTGTTTGCAGAGGTGTGACCTCATCTGTAGAACATGAATGTAAATTGTACTAGTGTAAAGAAGTTTATGAAATGTGAATTTCTTGCTTATCTATCACACACACACACACATAAAAACAACAAAAAAAAACAAAGAGATCACTATTAAGTTTGGCCCGGCATGGCCAGGTGATTAGGGCGCTCGACTCACAATCTGAGGGTCGCGGATTCGAATCCCCGTCACACCAAACATGCTCGCCCTTTCAGCCGTGGGGCGTTATAATGTGATGGTCAATCCCACTATTCGTTGGTAAAAGAGTAGCCCAAGAGTTGGCGGTAGGTGGTGATGACTAGCTGCCTTCCCTCTCGTCTTACACTGCTAAATTAGGGACGGCTAGCGCAGACAGTCCTCGTGTAGCTTTGCGCGAAATTCAAAAATAAACAAACTATGTATATATGCAGATCGAAATACGGACTTTTCAACTAGAAAGAATGGAGTTATATATTTATACTTAATACAACAATCGTAAATATACAATAACGAATATAATTCAACAATACCTATTAACCAGATATCTTGAGTTTGGTGTAAATTAGATAAAACGGTGGAAATTGTAAGAATTAAACATTAGGGTTAAAAACAATAATGACAATAATTTCATATACGAAACGAACAACTTGTTAATATTAGTTTACTTAATTTTTGGTAAACAATTGTAGAGAAGAGAAACGTGTACTTTGGCTTCTTTTTTTTAACACAAATATAGCTACTTAAGTATTTTTTTGAATGTATATTTTTTTTATTCAATAACAGTCTGAATCTCGTAACTTAAAATTCGATGGTAAAAGTGAACAGTAAAAAAAAAATAATGTTCTTCGAAGTCTTCCCGATTAAAATGTGCTTAAACTTATTGAAGATATAATACTTATTAAAGAATAAAATCTACACCGAAATTACCCTCAACAGTGTTGTTTGTTTGTAATTAAGCACAAAGCTACACAATGGGCTATATGTGCTCTGCCCAACACGGGTATCGAAACTCGGATTCTAGCGTTGTTAGTCCGCAGACATACCGCTGTGCCACGTGGGGGGGGGGGGGGCAAATAGTGTCGTCTCGTTTATCATCAATGAATAACACTGAATGTCATACTTCCAAGATTTGTACGGTTAGCTACGCCGTTTCAATTTCATAGAAGCTTTTGAACTTCTAATAACAGCTCCGCTAAAAAAAAAAAACAACAACAAACATTTGGAGGTCGTAAAAGCCAATTTGCCGCTTTATAGGTTTTGTCGTATAACAGTGATCGTTATCTTTCGTATTGGCGATTCACTCTTGCTGTTTTATTTTTGTTTGAAGCTCCCCAATAAGCTATCTGCGCTCTGCCCACCACGGGTATCGAAACGCGGTTTCTAGCGTTGATAGTCCGCAGACATACCGCTTTGCCACTGGGAGCTGGCTGCTGTTTTAAGTTGTAAGTATTAGAACTCCCATTGAATTGTGTCCTATTGAAGCTATTCACTACGGATAAAGCAAAACGCTTCACCCACTTGCAATATCTAATGTGAATTACTACCCAACGTCTAAGATATCAAATAAAAGTTATTTGATTTTTAATTCAAAATAAGATTAAAATGCAAAGGGTACAATTTTCCTAAACATCTTTAAAAAAATGGTCGTTAATGAAAATAAACATTTCAATGCAAATGGGACAACCCACACTGCCGAACATGCTCGCCCATTCAGCCATAGGGGCGTTATAATGTGTCGGATAATCCCACTTTTCGTTGGCAAAGAGTAGCCCAAGAGTTGGCGGTGGGTGGTATTGACTAGCTGCCTTCCCTCTAGTCAATCACTGCTAAATTAGGAACGGGTAGCTCTCTAGTAGCTTTGTGCGAAATTCAAAACAAACAAGCAAATGGGACTATTTCCTGTGAAGATGAGTTCAATAGAGCAGGACGTGAATTTCATGTGGCTAAACCCGAGTTTGTTTCATGCAGTGAGATACCGATGTCCTGATCCTCAGCAAGAGAAACAGAAGGTGAATCCAGTAAATAAGAAGAATATCTTCTTAATGAAACACTGCCATCTTCACTGTTATCAGAAGAGGTGTGAGTAACTTAACGTGTTCTTCTAATTAAGTCTTCGCTTAAAAACGATATTTAAAAAAAAAGTAGGTGTTTTTGGTCGGGCTACAGAAAGATCGGTCCAAGGTTCGAGACTTGATGCTGAACAAAGCCCTCGTGACGGCGATTGTTGTAGGCTAGGTGCTTTCCCTCTGGTCAGTAGTTTTGGGATGGCTATAACTGAACCACAGACATCTATAACTCTCGTACGTATAAGATGTCGTTCGAGTTGAAAATTCCAATTTTCTTGTTCTGTTTATTACTCTTCGAAAAAATTCTTGTAAGAGAACATCGGTGGCACGGTTAGACAGGTTTATCAAACAATTTCGAAAATAGAATACGGTGTAGTAGAGTCAGGAGTCTCAAATATGATAAAAGTTTGAAGTTTTGAAACCTTCCATAGAGCCATCCTCAGATCCAACCTTAGATCCGATTTTCTGTAAAATTTCAGTGATATACTTACAATATCTTACACAGTGTTGCAAGAAACTTAAACGTATTCTTAATCCATTTCTGGCTGTTGTATTCATTAAGGTCATTAAGTTCTTGCTTTGAGAAATCACTCTCAAATCCAACGAGGTATGGATTTTATGTTTCAGTTTTATGTGATGTTTTTAGTATGCGAAAATGAATAATTTTCTTCTTAGTGTTTCTTGACGAAGGTATGACAAAATCTTATGTGTTTTGGTGAGTCATGTTATAAGTCATGTAACAGTTTCGCTGTATATGTAAAACATTCGTGAAGAATTTCTAATAAAGCATGTAAATACATGACGTGTGTTTTATATTATCCTGTGTTTTATATTATATTAAATACAAAAGTAATTACGTACATCTCGAGGTAATAAATAGTTTGGAGCTCAACGACTAACAAATATTAAGATGATAAGTATAAGTTTGCCACTCCAATTGTAAAATCCTGGAGGACGAATCTTGGACCGAGTAATGGTAACATAAGAACAAACTGTTGTTACTCTTAAACGTAACATTTAAAAATCGAATAGTAATTGTTACCAGCGAACACAATTTTTATAAACAATCAGAAATATCAGTTAATATTATTTATAGTTACAGTAGGTCAAAGTATTCATTTTTGAAAACCTCTTACCTGATTCGTTAAAACCTTGTGATTTACAGTGGGAACAGTTATGTGCAAAAGTAAATACCGCTAAACTTACACTAAATCATTATGATGCACATTAGTTCCAAGTGATGTTAAGAATTCTGCAGTTAAGCCTTTTTCGCTATCTTTATACGTGATACCAACTCCAGTGCTTCTTGATGACACACTATTTACAATAGCATACACTATAAAAGTGAAACATTACCACCTTCGGAAGAAGGTGTAGCTAATCTATTTTGAAATAAAATGTCCCAGCTTTATTCTAACATTGCAAATAAAGAAAAATTTATTATTAACGAAATTTGAGCAAAAGAGTGTTTTTTTTTTCATGTTAAAAAAAAAGAGGAAACGAGTTATTGGCAAGCCTCGAGTGTCTGGATGTTTTGTGTAGATGTTCGAAATACAAATCTGGACAGAACATGCAGTTAGTAAAGTGTATTTCTATAATATAACGGCCTCACAGTGGTATGTCTGCGGACTTATAACGCTAGACTCCGGGTTTCGATACCCGTGGTGGGCAGAGCACAGATAGCCCATTGTGTAGCTTTGTGCTTAATTACAAACAAACAAACTAATATAATGTAGTGAATGAAAAAAATCTGAATTTCCGATAAATATGTTCTTATTTTTTCACTCCTATTATATCTATTAGCAGCGTTGTTTAAAGTTAGGTGAGACTATTTCTGAACTATATTTTGACATAGATATTATTACGTAGATAATGTGATGCCACTGGAAACTGATTGCTTTTGGGATATTTATACACTGAGATTATAAAGTTGTGTTCAGCTCAAGCATATAGAACTTCCAAGATAGGAATATCTCATGTACTTATGACACTGAAAAACAAAGGAATATGGATCAACTTGAGAGATCAGGACCACCATGAAAGAGACCTAAAACAAGTCCTATCCCAGGATTATAAGGAAAATGTGGCATCTTATAACATATTAAAATCCATGAACACAAAGGTCAGTAGTGAAAGCTATCCACGTGTAACAGGCAATATACAATATATTCAAGACGGATCTCCGTCTGGAAAAGTATCACAAGCCACGGGTATACGAGTTCCTTTCACGATATATCCGTTCAATCGTCGCATATCTCAAGTCATCGAACGCCGAGCTTACGGATTTCCATGTGATTGAAACGTTAAAACGGACACTGGAAAACCGTTGCCCTTGTACACTAGATGTCTTACGGAAAGAATTCAAGGTGGATTTGTGTGATGTGGAAATAACAGTCTTACAATGGAGCCTTATGCAATAGAAAACTATGTCTCAGGGCTATTACCAAGATGACGGCCATCAGACAGAGCATAAGTGGGTGTGGCGACATGGATTGTTATGACATGAGAAGACCTCAAAATCGCTATATTGTATTCACCTCTTTTTAGTCTTTTTTATTTATATTGACAACAAAGCTTTTTGTGAAGTACACCTATAACGATTGGTGTGTACTAGTATAACGAAAAAGATGGACGAAGGAAATGGACTTAAAGTTTACATTTTACTTTTGTTCTTATTGCGAAAGAATTTAAAACCTAACGTCATCTTACATAACGGCCTGTTTACATACAGCTCTATTGATACAGTTTACATAAACCATTTTTGATATCTTTTATATGACGTTTGATTAATTGTTGAATTTTCGACATTAGAAAGATTCCCCCTAAATAATACTACATGGTAATGCTATAT